CAATCAGGAAGAGTCCTTGTTCACGCGCTTGTGTTTCCCGCGCTAGTATTCAACAAAAGGCATCTTTGGTTTGCATTAAAAAAAACTTCAACACACGCAATGTTCTAATTGCACCACAAATGCAGTAGTCATCCTTACCTTTCACAGAGGCACTGAGTTTTATAAATATGAGCATGATAGTGTAGAATAACCATATCCAAGGACCAGTGGTGGGTTTCAAAATTTTTTGGAACCTCTTCTGTAGGTGTCGCCTGCTTTCTGGGTCCACTGGTGGAACCTCTTCTAACCGGTTCAGTAGATTTGACGAACCGGTTCTTCCGAATAGGTGCGAACTGGTAGGAACCCAACTCTGGTATAAGCCCTGAAAATCAAAGTAACAATATGGGTCTGTCAGATTTAACTATATCAAATGCATATGCTTACATTTTGCATTTTCTTTTTCTCCTAAGTTCATATATGGCTCTGCTCCAGTCATGGATAACTTGATTCATACAGCTTTCATCTACCAGATGTTTCCAAATGAACATCTTCAAATTACAGGGATTCTTCAGTTGCTGCTTTATTTTAAGTGGATCTGGATTGGGATAATTTTTCAAGAAAATGAGATTGGTGAAAGATTTCTGAGGGAAGTGCTTCTCAGGTTTTCCCAAAATGGAATCTGCTTTGATTATATTAAGGAATTTCCAACAATAGCTTTTTCCAATGAGATGGGAGAACAAATCAACAATTTTGTCAAAGTATGCAAAGTCATTATGAGAAGCACGTCCAGTGTTGTGATTGTATATTGTGAGAACCAAGTCATGGCTCTTTTCAGGATGATCTCTGTTTCAGAATATTGGGAAGCCACAGTTGAGAGGAAAGACAAGGTTTGGGTTTTCCCAGCCCAGATGGAGTATACTTCAATTCCGTTTCAAAGAGACTGGAATATGGACTTCATCCATGGGGCTCTTTCTTTTGTGGTTTCATCAAAAGAAGTGTTAGGGTTTCATAGATTTCTTCAGACGAGAAACAGTGTTCCAGAAAATGAAGACAGTTTTTCAAGAGTCTTTTGGGAGCAAACCTTTCAATGTTCTTTCTCAAAGTCCATTTTAAGCCCAAAGTCAGAGAAAAGATGCACTGGGGAAGAGAAGCTAGAGACTCTTCCAGACTCTGTTTTTGAATTGAGTATGACTGGGCAAAGCTACAGCATCTACAATGCAGTCTATGCTGTGGCACATGGTGTACAAGCTTTCCTTACATACCATTCCAAACACAGATCAGCAGCTGATAGTGGGAAACAAAAGCTTTTCAGTCATCATGTATGGAAGGTATGCTCCTTCCTTTCTTCTTTTTCTTTCTTTCTCTCTTTCCCTCCTTTAATCTTATTAGAAATAACTCAAGGCAAAGGGTCAGGCCTGGAAGCCATCTTTTGCATTGGGCCTTCAGCACATTTAATGCTGTGGTAAAATGTGAGGTGGGATTATATGGAGTATGGAAGATATACCGTATTTTTCGGAGTATAAGATTCACCGGAGTATAAGACGCACCAAGGTTTCGAAAAGGCAAATTTTAAAAAAGTAGGTAGGTAGATAAAGGGATAGAGAGGGGGAGAAATACAGTAGATAGGTAGGGAGAGAGAGAGAGAGAGAGAGAGAGAGAGTAGAGGTAGGTAGGGAGAGAGAGAGAGAGAGAGTAGAGGTAGGTAGGG